CATTTTCCTGTGCATTTTATGCATTTGGTTTGGCGGGTAATATAATGCCACTTGAACTCACTATACATTTTTTTATTTTGTTATTTTTTAAAAATTATATTGACATTAGACATTATTTTTTATATTGCTTATTTCTTAATTTTCTGAATATATGTAAAAAAAAATCTTTTAAGACTAGAAAGGCTACCTGTGTGATGATCGCTGATGGGGGTCTACTCTGGTTTAGATGAAGTGTGTGGAAAGCCACACTGATGTTTAGAGTAAAAAAAAAATATTAATTTTATTTTGATAAAATTTATGAAATAAATTTGTGATTTACCTAAAAATTGAAGATAAGTAGAGAACTGAATAGGGAAGTAAAAACGGGGAAGAATTACGTAGAGAAGATGTGTCTATGTTCCGGTCTGGAGGTTAATTGGATTAAGTTTCTTTTAATCGTTTTGTAGAGTGTGGATAGAAGGAGAGATGGGGAGTATGAAAAGTAAGGAGAAGAAGACAAGAGAATCTGGTAAGAGAGAGTGCAGAGAATTGGTCCCTCCATGTTTGTTAAAGAAACTACATCTCTTTCAGATTCTTTCCTTCCTCCTCTCCACTTGTTCCCTCCCCATCTTTATGTCTGGCTTCTTAATCCTTAATCCCATGAATCTAATACCATCATCGCTTCATGTTCTCATAATCTCATCTCTTCAAATAAGCAATCTCCCCACTTGACAGGATAATCTTATGGTTTTTTTTAAAGCTCCGTTCAAATAGTACTTTTAAGTAAATTTATATAAGTCAAGACAAAACTCTCCTCACATGTTTATTTCGTATTCCGTAAATTATATCTGAGAAAATTTATGAACTATTCTAAATAATCCTTAGTCAAACACTGATACTCCTAATCAAAATATCCAAGTAACGGTGCTTCTTTCGTGTATAGGAAATTATTTTAATGCGAATTTATTAAATTTTTTCTGCCCATTTTGACTTTGATATTCTCAATTTTCAAGGTTTTAAAAAAAGGAATGAAACGATGGACTCAATGCAGAGCCACCATTTCGGTGGAAACAATATCCTCTGAAACTGCTCAGGTTGAGATTCCGATGCGACCGAATAGCAGCCTAAACATGCACTGTTTCCTTCTATTCAAAATTTTATTGCATTTTTCTCATGCATCGGTTGGAGTAATCAAATTCGTCTTTGCCCTCGTGAGCTGAATTTATTTATTTATAATTAATTTCAACCTTCATGTACTTGGATATTTACATTCTGACTTCTAAGGGTAAAATGATATAAAGATTCTTTTTTTTTGATAAATAAAATAAAGATAATGTATGTATATCTAGATTCAAGTATCATAATAACAACACTAAAATTAAAATGCATTAGTAATAATTTATTTAATTATATCTAAATTGAATTTTAAGTGATAAATGATATTGAATTTATAGTTAGATTTTCTTTTTTAGTCAAAATTGAAAAATACTTCTCTGGTCCTTAATGGAGACTTAATTGTTGAGTTGATCTTGGGCTTAAATATAAAAATTATTTTTTATATTTACCCATTTTTTAAAATTATTTTTATTGATACTCCTTCAATTAAAATCAAGTAGAAGAGGGAGGGAGCATATTAAGAAAGATGATTATGGTGTTTTAGAAAAAATATGTCATATTTCTTATAATTAACTATCTTATTTAATTTTTTTAATCTAATTAAATTAGTTAAATATTTCTTACTATTGTTTTCCATTGAAAATTATTGAAATGAGGAGGAGAAAGGCGAATGGGTCGGTCTGTTGTCGATTATGTATTAATTAAAGAATAACGTAAAGAGATTTGGTCGGTCCAACTCCACGATCCGTTCTTTCAGTTTCGTTTCTCTGCCTTGAGAATACAATATTATTAATTAATGCTCCCGCTGGGATTAGTCTATCATTCTATATGAAAAAAAGTCAGAGTAACATTTTTTCAAAATAAGAGGCATTAGCTATTATATTTCTTTTTTTTTAATAAAGATTATAATTATACTTCATAATTCATATGCATTAATATGTAAAGCATTTTTCTTTACCTGTTTGTTAATGAAATTTGGATAAAAGGATATTGATTATCCATACACTTTCATAAAATATCTTATATATTGAATCATAATTTTTTTTAAAAAATGCCTTATATTTAAAACAAAAGTAACACAATTTTTGAATGAAAAAAATTTCCATTTAAATATTTTTGTGACTTAGTAATTTAGTCCTGAAAAGTCATTATATACTCTTTTTTTAAAAAAAAAAATTTGAAGGACACTAATAGTTCACATGTTAGCTAACCCATATGGGGATTATCTTTTAGAGGTTTATTTTACAGAGCGTGACAAAATCGAATAAAAATATTTGTAACCATTGAAAAGAATAATTACCATATTTTGATCCTAAATATAAAATCTCAACCCACTTGTTTCCATATTTATATATTTTTTTAAGGTAGTCCTTTTAACAATAGTAATTATAACTAATACACTTAATTAGTAAGAATATTTTAGAAAAAACAACACTTATTTATTATAAATAACTAACTTAACTTTTTTTTAATCTCCTCAAATTAGTCAACTAGTTTTTATAATTAGGACTAGAAGTAGTATAATAAACAGCATATTTTTTTCAAATCGTAATTATAAGATTCAACGAGGTCTTATATTCAGAAGAAAAAAATGTACGGTTAGGATTAAGGCATGAAAATGCGGTGGAAGGAGAGTGAATTGGGGAAGTTGAGATGAATGTGTGTGAACACAGAAAGGAAGAGGAGGCGGAGAAGGAGGATGAGGAGATAAGCAGAAAAGGAAGACAGGAATTAAAAGGCAATGATGAAGAGGTGAAGATTAAAGATGATGAACGTGTCCCACTTGGGACATGAAAGGAATCAAAACAAACACCATTTCAACTACCAATTAGGCCTCACAACCACAATTTACAAGGGCTTAAGCTTTCTCACATCTCAATAATAATTAATTTGGGGGGCAAAGCTGCATTATCACTCAGACTTATATCACACCACCCTAAGTTTGCCCCAAAAGTCAAAAAGGCAGGCACCAGAACTTGCTCCAATGAACAAACAAAGACTCATCAAAAAGAGACCAAATGATGCCTACAAAACAGGCTCGTCTTCCTATGCCCTGTCTCTCTCTCCCACTCTTCACTCTCTCTCTATGTGGCCTAAAATGGATACATTTTAAGTGTTTATAAGTAATTTTCACATGAATTGGGATAAAACTTCTCTTTTGAAAACTAGTTTTAAAGATTCCAGTTGCCATTTCAAACACGCCTTACTGGTTATTTTTCCAATCATCAACATATTTGTGTCGAGATTTGAAGACTAATTGATATTCCTTCCGGTTTTAAATGTCATACCCATTTTATAATGTAAATAAAATAGGTTTTATATTTAGAATTGGAGGAGTATCAAGTACTTCTTTAATATATTTGAATATGAAATTGTAAGTTTGAATTTTGGATAAAGTATATGTGAGATATGATTACAAAAATTAATATACCATTCAATGTAAAGTATAAATAAATTCAGAGAGCGGAATTAAGTAGTTAAATTAAAACTCAATTTCAGGCTCTAAAGTATGATGGACATGGGAAGGGGATCACATGCAAGACTTGTAACTTTTAGGTTTGGGCCTTTTCTCTTGGGCTTTTCCATGAAGGAAAATGTCTTCAAGTTCCACTCAACAGGAACTAAAATGTCTTCAAGCCCATTTAACAAGGGTCGGGAAACATGAAGGGGACTAGACATTTTGTATGCTGCTCTCGGAGTAGTCTCTCTAACTATATTTTTTGTGACTCTGCCCATTTTATAAAGTATTTTACCTGGTTTAACGACAACTACCCAATATTCGGGAGATTCTTTTTCCGACTCCATATGTATCTCTGTAGGTCTTATTGTAACCGGCTTGTTTGAAAATATGCGTACTCATATTTTTTGGGCATTTCGTGACATTGCTTGCCACCTTGCTTCTAGTGATCGACATTCATCAGCAGATGTGATTGTTTTACTTCAATATATCTTCTGTGTATGAAATTGAAATGTGGACAAATTCACACCCCTCACCTTGCTGCTCTTGAAGATCAAATAACTTTGAAGCTCATCAGGTGGCTTCAATGGAGGTAGGACTGCATTTTGTGGTGTGTTAATTATCCCAACCATGTTCTATTTTTCTTCGGTTCCCTGTTAAATCAAAATGGTGAATTTATCTCCCACCTTGTAGGGAACATTTCTTGCCAGTTTAGAGTTGCGGTAAAAACTTTGTAAAACCTTAATGCTAATATACTCTTCCGCTTCTTAGTATAAGACTTAATTGTCAGTTAATTTAGTTTTAAAATAAAACTTATTTCTCATATTTATTAAATTTGCCTAAATTATTCCTATGATACTCCCCCAACTATAATCAAGAAGTAAGGAGGGAGGATATTAAGAAAGATAATTATGATTTTAGGAAAAAACATATCATATTTTTTATAATTAACTACTAACTTACTTAATCTAATCAAATTAATTAAATAAGTTTTATATTAAAAAAAAAAGTAAATAAAAGCATGGTTGGGGTTAACTCTCAACAGAAACTGCTTCTGCAAACCAACAACCTTCACCACTGCTTCATTCTAAAACCAATAATCTCATTATGTCACGAACACCAACTTTAGTCTTTTAATTACACCTAGGCTCCAGGCTCTTGCCTAGGACCAGGAGGGACATAATACTGAAACTGAAAACCCACTTTTTTCCGCTGGTTGGAATTTTGGTCATTAGATTCATCTAAAGGTGAATATTGCACCACGTCATGCAATATTTTGTGAGGATCTTGCCCTTGATCATTCAACAGGAGAGAATCTCAGCCGTTAATTTTAGATGCTTAGACCTAATTCCTGAACGCCATCCAATTTTTGAAAATTTCTCTTCGCCCCCGGCTTTCACCGGCGCTGGCCGCTTCTCCATAATCCTTGCTTTCTGACCGGTGCTCAATCGAGGAGGAGATGGGGGACTGCAAATTTAGAGAATGATGGGACTTTGAAGAAGGACCTGATTGAGAGGGAGGGGGCGAGATTGGTGGGGCTTTGAATAAATATTCATTTCTGCTGATAGGTAATTTTGATCCCGTTGAGTTTGCTTCTATTGAGTGTATTTAATTTCTGATTTATTGATTATAACATGAAAACTGTCTTGAATTTTGCTGATTGATCGGGTTGTTTGGGACAAATGACAGAATTTGGTTCTGCATATTCTGAAAATTTATCGTGAATTCGCCACAAATGCCCGGCTTTGGTTTCTACTTTTTGCTAATTTGCTAATGGCTCTTATGCTATAATTGTTCAGTTTGAATTTGGATTCTGAATTTTCCTGTTGGTTGAACTGAAGGAACTGGCTACTTCAGGTTTGCTTAGTGCCATGATTTGGGTGGTGAAGATGCGTCATGCCATGCATTATTCATATTAATGGCATAGACACTGGAGATGCTTGCTCACTTACGAAATGCACTTCTCCATATGCTGCAAGTGCTGCCTTTTAAGTCGTTGCAGAGAAACCATTCACTAAAAATAATGCCGAGAAACCGAAAGAATTACTTTTGCCATGGTCGAGCTTCCCAAGTCTCTTTCTCCAAAGCAACTTATCAAGCTCCTTAATGCAGAGAAAAACCACCACTCCGCTCTCCAACTCTTTGAAGACGCCTCTCGGCATCCTGGGTACAAGCATTCCTCCAACGTCTTTCACCACATTCTTCGACGCATATCTGACCCAAGGTTTGTTGTCCATGTGGATCGGGTCCTCGAGATGATCCGATCCCAGAAATGCAAGTGCCCTGAAGATGTTGCATTGACGGCGATTAAAGCCTACGCAAAAAATTCCATGCCTGATCAAGCATTGAATACATTTCAGAGAATGGGCGAAATTTTTGGCTGTGAACCAGGGATAAGATCATACAATTCGTTACTTAACGCTTTTATCGAGTCCAATCAATGGGATAGGGCGGAGGCCTTTTTTGCGTATTTTGAGACAGTGGGTATGGTACCCAACTTGCAGACCTATAATATTTTAATCAAGATATCGTGTAAGAAAAAGCAGTTTGAGAAGTCGAAAGTTTTGTTGGGATGGATGTGGGATAAAGGGATGAAGCCTGATAGATTCAGTTATGGTACTCTTGTTAGTTCGCTGGCCAAGACTGGTAATTTATCGGATGCGTTAGAGGTGTTTGACGAAATGAGTGAAAGAGGGGTGAATCCTGATGTGATGTGTTATAACATGTTGATAGACGGGTTCTTCAAAAGTGGTGATCCTGTGAAGGCTAATGAGATGTGGGATAGGTTGTTGGAGGATAAATTGGTTTATCCAAATGTTGTAACTTATAATATAATGATCAACGGTCTTTGCAAATGTGGCAAGTTCGATGAGAGTTTGGAGATATGGGACCGGATGAAGAAAAATGATCGACAGCATGACCACTTTACTTACAGCACTCTGATTCATGGGTTGAGTGAGGCAGGGAACTTAGATGGAGCGAAAAGAGTTTATAAGGAGATGATTGAGAGAAGGGTAACCCCAGATATTGTTATATGTAATACTATGCTTAACGGATTTTGCAAAGCAGGGATGATCAAGGAATGTTTTGAATTGTGGAAAGAGATGGGAATGTTTGGTTCTCGAAACATAAGAAGTTATAACATATTTATGAAGGGTTTGCTTGAAAACAGGAAGGTAGAAGACGCGATATCCCTCTGGGAAATCTTGCCACAGACAGAATGTCTTGCGGATTCCACTACGTATGGAATTTTAACTCATGGTTTGTGTAAGAATGGTTACCTGAATAAGGCTTTACAGATATTGGAAGAGGCAGAGAAAAAGGGAGGTAATGTGGATGCCTTTGCATATTCCACGTTGATTAATGCATTATTCAAAGATGGAAAATTAGATGAAGTGTCTAGAGTTGTAAATATGATGGATAGGCGGAAATGTAAATTTAACCCATATGTCTGCAATTCACTTCTTGATGGATTTGTAAAACATTCCAAACCTGATAGTGCTGCCGAATTCTTTGGGACAATGGGCTCTAAGGGTTGCTCACCAACCGTTGTTTCCTATAATATTCTGGTGAATGGATTATGTAGAGTAGGAAGATATCCTGAGGCATATTTTTACATGAAGGAAATGATTGATAAAGGGTTGAAACCAGATGTTATCACATACAGCTTGTTGATTGATGGCCTTTGTCAAAGCAATAAGATTGATGCCGCACTTAGGCTGTGGCATCAGTTACTGCACATGGGCTTTCAGCCTGATGTAACTATTTACAATATTATGATCCATGGACTTTGTTCTTCTGGCAAAGTCGAATGTGGTCTACAACTCTATTTAAAGATTAGGAAAACCAACTGTGTTAATCTTGTGACCCACAATACCATAATGGATGGTCTTTACAAAGCTGGGGACTGTGAAAAAGCTTCAAAGATTTGGAGCTACATTTTAGAAGACGGGTTACAACCAGATATAATTTCATATAATATTACTCTTAAGGGGCTTTGCTCTTGTGGTCGAATAATAGATGCGCTGGGGTTATTAGATGAAGCTTTGGGAGATGGAGTTGTCCCAACTGTCATTACGTGGGATATACTTGTCAGAGCTGTTATTATATATGGGGCTTGAGCTTCATTTTTTGGGCTCTGAAACTAATTATAGCAATTTCAACCTCTATTATCTACTGCTTGTTGGGCATGTCAGCTGTAGCAATCTATTAATTTATGAGTGGCTTGTTGGTTTCCCTATAAAGCAATGAGCTGGCGTTATTGTAATTGGACCCTAGCAGAGTATTTAATAGCGGTGGGTATAATCCAACTTGCCATCAGGGAAATCATCTCCATTAATCAAATTGCTTGGCCTTCCTCTTCCTGTTCCTGACTCTACTGGATATACCACACAGCTCAATCTACGCAGTTCCCAAGTTAGAGCAAAATGATTTTTCAAAGAATGGATACATATCTTCTCATTATGTTATGTTTGGATTTTAATATCCTGATCATTGATATTGATGCTTAATTTTGCTAGACAAGTCACCTGAATAACTCGAGGGTCACCTGTGCTGCTGAGATCTTCCCTGTAGTTCATGGTTCCAGTGCTGCTACACAGGAGGCATGTCAACAAGCAACATGAAATGCATATATCAGAAGATGGATGAAGAAACTTATATTCAAGAAGAGGTATGCGTTAGCTCTACTGATTATTATTAAATTTCAAGGGCTTGCTAATACTTTTCCTCTCGCCTTTCTTTGGAGGCTGATTAAAATTGCATATAATAGCATATATGTGTAAACATTGGGATTTTAATTACCGAACAAGTTCATCTAGACTTTCTTCTCTAAACTATAAGGATCATCTGTTTTTAATTTGTGAGGTGTTTTTGGTGATGTATTGTTCCTAGAGCTGGGTATGAACTTTCTATTTGCTTTTTCGTGTTGGTTATGTTAGTCAGCACTTATTACAGTAGTAATCAATCCGTGCGGCATGCTGGCATATCAAGTTATAAAGAAGGAACTTTATTCTTTATCGTGCATGGCCTTCCATTATATACGCATATTATAGATAATTTTGAGAAGAAATATGCCTTTGATTGTTAATGTCCATTTGTAAAAGCTATAAAGTTGGGAAAGCTATAGCTCGATGGTCTATATGAATAAAATATTAGATTCATCAGCATCACACGTGGTTGGTTACTCAGTTACCTAGATTTCGGTGATTGCAGTGATATCACTGATATGACATATTGTTGATGCCAAAGAAAAATGCTTGATATGTCAGGCCCAAGTTTTAAGCTATCACTTGGGGTTATTGTATCACGCAACAATCATTTATAATGTATTTATATTTTTCAGCAGCTTGCTGTGAATCAAGTTGTTTTGTTTTTTCATTGTTCTTTTTCCTTATTGTCTTTGATTTTTGTTTTGCTCGACACTTTTTATCCATAGATGAACTAAGAAAAAGTCTCCAGAATAGCTCCAAGAATTGCAACTTTTCTCCTATTGCTTGAGGATGAGGCAATAGCAGAAAATCAAATATTCCACAGGTCAGCTTGGCCACTTAAGATGAGGCAAATGTTTTTTTTTTTTTTCCCTGGTATTGCTGGTTACATCCTTTGTCTTTTGTACCTCTTCCTTGCCTTCTACGTTATCAGCAGGTAAAACTTTGGGTTTACATTCATGTTCGCGCCAGGGAGCCTGGAAATGAGACCCATTTGCAGAGGCACAAAATAGAACTACTTTTGTTGGAGTGTCTCTTGCAGAAGGGTCCACTTATTAGGATCAGAGAAAGGATGAATGGCTTTTGAGGGCAATCATTATTTTATGATCAGCGACATTTGTGAAAATTATGAGCATATTTTTGTGACAAATTTGCAGGGACAAGGATGTATATAGTACTTGATTCATTCTAATTCCTTACAGGTGCAAAAGTAATTGTATATAGATGATACTCTCTTATGCTTAAATATTTTATTATTTTTTTATAATATAATTATAATATGATTGCATGGCTAGAAGGGATTCAAATTAAAATTTGATATTGTCTTTGCTCAGAGTAATTTATTTTTGGATTGATGGACATTTTAAAATAAAAGAAAATCATATGATTAATACATTTGTAAAAGCGGAAGCGAGTAGAATGGTCCGACAGACACGTATGACATATATGAATTTTTATATTTAGCGAACGAGTTTACAGTATAAATTAAATAGAAATTAAAAAAAATCACAAAAACAAGAAATAAAAAAAGACATTACTAGTTTTTTTTTTTTGGGGGGGGGGGGTGGAGGGAGTCAATCTCATTTCTCCCCACACATTCTATGCTTGGAAACTTGTCAAGGGGCTAGAACGGGATAATAATCGAGGGCAAAGTAGCATCTGGTCTTTTGTTCTCAATTGTATGCAGCATCCTGCCCTTGTGTTTCTAATGCTTCTATCACTTTTTATTCACAGTGCATATACTACCTCTCTATCCTAATTAATTATAAGAGTTAGTTGACTAATTTGATTTGAGAAGATTAAAAAAAAAAGTTAAGTTAGTTATTTGTAATAAATAGGTGTTATATTTTCTAAAATATCCTTACTATTTAAATATGTTGGTTAGAATTATCATTGTTAGTGGGACTACCTCGAAAAAAAATATAAATATAAGAGACAAAATGAATTGGGTTTTTATATTTAAGACTAAAATAAAAGTCAAACAAAATCTTATATTAAGAAGTAGAGGTAGTAGTATCCTAAATTATAAATAAAATTAGAGTGATGAATGTAACTAAAAAATAACGTTAGAGAATATTAGAGTAAATACACCATAAATAAGATTAGGCTATCGCATACTACTTTACCCAATCATTAACATAACATATTTCATTGCTGAATTTTTGAAACTCAATGGAAAAAGAAAGTGAAATGTCAACGTTGACCTTTTTATTTAAACACTATCTTCTCGGGATAATTAAGATGATAACACAATTATTGCTTCAACAATTTACCCTTCATGTCAAATAGCTTTCTTCATCATTGAAGATTATTAAAGGTAACGAAAAAGATTAATCGTGACAGAAGCTTTGTGCATCAACGAATTGAAAGTAAATGAAACGGATCAATTCTCCTGATCACTGATTAATCATTGTGTGACTAATACAAAGGAGAAATTAGATATTAATTTCGGTCAACATTAGAAAAATACTTGATGTGTTAATTACTTAATTAAGAAATAGGGAAGAATAGACGAATTGTGGATGCCCTCGTGATTATTTGATATTTATTGGCAAACATACTGGAAAATATAGTTGATCATATTTTATATAATATAATATATATTTTTTGACAACATATTGTTCAATTTAAAAATTCTCTTTTGATGCATAATTTTTCAATGAAAAATTGAAAACTAACAGAAGCTTTACAAATAAATAAGTTTATTTTTTTATGCAATAATAAATACAAAAATCAACAAATTGAAAAATCAAGAACAAGAAAAAGCGACGATCAGAATTTTTTGCCCAAGCTACTGTTGCTTTAATTTGGATTACTTCTTTTTTATAATTGAAAAACGAAGTCAACAGCAACAAAATATTGATATGGATATCTTCTGCAAAATAAAAGGATCCTATGCCCTAGGTCCAACATAAAGTCAGTTCTAGGATTTTCGTCTTTTCAAATAAAGGTCTTAACAGGGCTATCACTAGGCAACGATAGAAATTGAACTTTCTTATGATGGAAAGGTTATAAAAAGAAAATCTCTCTCAATTAAATTAGGTTTACTCCATAGACAATATACAAAAATAAAAAATAAAAAAAATCCACACCACAACAAAAAAAATCTTTTATTTTACATTGTTTTTTATATAGCTGCAAATTATTTATGAAGTAAATTGAATGTTGCGGCCTAATTAATTTGGTGTGAATAGCGGATTTTCTTATGGACTCATGGTAATACTACTTATCCTGCTAGTAATCTGTTAAATTAAGGATTCAATCTTATATATTACCTCTGGTTGTAATATATGAGCTAAATAAAAAAACAATTTATTTTAATTCTAAATAAAAGATTTCAATTTATTTTATCTCCTAAATGTATAATTTTTTCAAAATATTTCTATTAATTGAAATATTAAGGGGGCTTATAATCAAAAAGTAATTCCAATCACATGATTAAAGAGCATTAATTTTAAAAAAATCAGAACACATTTGTTAAAAATAAATAATTTTTTTAATTATAAATTAGTTATTTAGTTCTGTAATCCAAAAAAAAATGTTGGTACGAAAAGAAGAAAACAAAAACCAGAGAGAAAAATCAAGAAGATATATAAGTGCTCTCCATCTGTAGATTTTGTTTGAGTTTTACTTCATCTCTAATATTAAAAGGTACCACTTCGCACCATCAAACATCATCAACAAATTCCATGATATTGACTCATTTCCAGCCGCGCTGACCGTACAACACTTTATTCTATTGTTTATCTCATTCTAAGTTACACACAGCTTTGAAAAAATTGTATAGATAGTTTTATTTATTTTAAAATGAAAGCAGAAGAGTAACATATATTCATCTTCCTTTGAGTCATACATAAGCCTATTCTATTTTCAAAGGAGATTTCTATGTATGTTTTAAAAATTAAAAAGAAATATGTGCAATTTCAACATATAAAACTCGAGAAACATTTATATACACGACTTAGCCATGGAGAAGAGATATTTAATCTTTCAACCATTTAGGATATTAAGCTTTTATTAATTTCAAAAAATGAAAAAAAATTTATATAATTTGAAAAAAATCACAAAATTTATGTATAATCTTCTCTACTCTTTTATATTTATTTTTTTAAGAAATATCTACACATAAATTAATACCAAATTAATGGGAAATGATTGATTAGAAATAAGGGAGAGAGATCTAGAAGAAGACGGAGAAGAGAAAAATGAATTTGATGGCACTTGGGCAATCTTGGAGTTTAGTCTTAATTTTCAAACAAGTGATGATTTTCATTTTATAAGGGCTTCTATCTGATATATGACCTGAAAACTATTTCCCAACTGATCGATTATGTTCATTAACAAGGGCAGCTTTCTGATATGTGACCTGAAAACCATTGCTCAACTATTTTTTTCTCTTTAAATTCTATTCTCTCAAACTAAGTAACCTCCTTCTAGTGCCTTGGCCTCTCATCTCCCACATATTATTCTACCTACAATATTTTTCACCAATATTAGTTTAAAGATATGAGAAAGCCTGCCAAATATATATATATAGACTGCAATATATATAACATTACCTCCACTTTTGAATATAAGTAACTTCAAATTACTTCACAGATATTAAGAAAAACTCTATATTTAAGGTGGTTTATTAACTTCTTAATTTGTCCCAAATTGCAATGATTTTTCAGAATTACCCTAATAAATGGTTTATATTTAATTTTTCAAAGTGTCATAACGGCACCTTTGTGTGCGTGTCTTTCCTTCCTTATGGGAAAAGCCACAGAGATATAACAGATTTCTTATGGTTAAAAAAAATAAAAAAAATTGAGCACTATATATTATGTTATGCTAATTAGTTATTGTTGTTGTTACTTTTAAGTGAAAAAGAATGTGTTCTGAATTAAGAAATGATTTTTAGTTCACTGCTCGCTATTAAAAGGGTATTTCACCTTCAAAATGATTGATTTAATTTTACGATAGCAATAATTAGTCAGTGCTTTTGCTTTTATTAAGCTCCTTTCACAATATTTGAAGACAGATAAGTTGTCTTAGGTTTAAGGCAACTATCAAAACGTTTGTTACACTATCATTTCAATTACTGTATACATAGATTCTAGATATATATTAGAAACTGTTAATCAAGATATTAATTTCATTGGGCAGAATAATGGATTAATTTATATGTGATGATTCTCAAGTTTTAAGTTATCCTCTCAACTGTAAAAATCAGAAAACCTTGTTATACAAATTTTCACAATTTCACGTTTAAAATCTTATGTCCAATTTTCATTAACAAATGTGTACCACACATCTTGCCTCAACAGGTCTTAATTGGTCTAAAAATACATTACTGAAAAGCACACATTAAAGTCAGAGTGAATAATTTTAGTTTATTACTTGATAGATATTGTTCAATTGACTTTTAGAATTGGAGTTTTTTTTTTTTGTGGCTTTTTTGCCAACAAATTGAAGAGTTCATATATTTATATTTTCTTTAATATCAAGTATTGGTAATCTCAAATACGATAACATTTCATATCACCTTATTAATTACAGATTAGCCATTATATATGTCCGAAATTTTTAAAAAAAATTCTAATAGCTCGTAATTAATGAAGCTTTGGTGGGTATAGGAATATTTAAACCTTAGGGAAGACAATTTTACAACCAAATAAGCTTAATCACCTAAAAAAAAAAAAGGTGTCCAAGGACCCAAAACACACAATTTATTGTGACGCACATAGGATATATATCATCGTACAGACTTACATAACTACAGCTTTTTAGTATTAGCTGTTCTCTTCGATCTTTTTCATAAGACTATATTAACTAAACTTTCATAAAGCCAAGGAAATTAGTTAAGGTTAGATAAATTTTTTAAAAAATGTATTACTCTTTAATTAGCATATAATTTTTTGGGGAGAGACGATGAAAAACCGTCATGGATAGAGATCAATTATAAACGTTTCATTAGATTCTGTAAAAGGTCTTTTGTATCATGAACTAATATAGAGGCAGATTTTTATAAATAAGATGGACGGGAGTACCAATTAAGAATTAAGGAAATTTTTTTTTTTTGGGGGTTTGGGGAGAGAAAGAAAAGTGTAACTTGGTTTGGAGGAATAACGGGTGTTCTTTTAACTGAGCTTGCTTGTAGGCTCACCTACCCTGGTAACAACGACGTCGTAGCAGTTGTTGTTTGAGCCTTTATAAGGGTGATGCGTTAGGCAGTCACCCATGAATCAACTTCATAAGTAACTTATATTCACAGCTTTAGTATTGTTTGGAGCTGAGAGAGAAAGAGAGAAGAGAGACAGAGACAGAGGAATATGAATAATTCTGTGGTTGCATTGCTTCTTCTACTTTCTTGCATCATTCTTCCAGCTTTGGTTGACTGCAGAGTCCGAAACTACAAATTCCATGTAAGTATTAATAACTCCCTCTTTTACATAGAAAAACAATGCCATATTTGTTTACAAACTGATCAATTAAATTAACATTGCTAATGTAATCAAATTTTGGTTAGAATGTAAGAGCTAAAAATCATAAAATATATAGCAGTTCACTGAAAATGCACGAATAATGAAAATTAAAGTTCTTGTGTGCGTGTGTAATTAAATATGAAGTCACTATATATATATATATATATATATATATGCTTTAAGATAGAATTAACATCATTGGCATAATCCATATTTAATTTATATTTTGCTCACTCATTAGTTTACCATCCACGTGCATTGAAAAAAAAAAAAAGAAGTGAAAACTGCTAGACTTATCACTGTTGTTAGATTAATATATATTAAGAACTAAATGCCATTCAACCGGTCTTTTCATGCAAGACATTTATATATATATATATATATATATAAGATAATTAAGTAGAATAAATGAATTACATATTAAAATCAAAATAGAAGCATGTGAAAAGTGAACTAGCTTTTCGGAAAACTATATTCAACATGCTGACATTCATATGTTTATAGTTAGCTTAGTTTATACATTTTTGACAAGTCGGTTAATATATATGTATTTTTGGCAAAATATAATGTTGAGAAATTAGAAACTTAGAAGGAAGGTAAGGTATAGATAGATAGGTTTAGTGATAAATCAGCACCTAATAATGATGGTTGGTTAGAGGACTACTCTCAATAATCCAACGCTTAATTAGTTTGAAGAAATATACACTACACGTGGTCCATATAATTGACAAGCACGCATGCATGTATGGTTATGATTGGCGCAGGTTGTATCAAAGAATGTGACGAGGCTGTGTTCAAGCAAGCCCATCGTGACCGTCAATGGCAAGTTTCCGGGACCCACACTCTACGCCAGAGAAGGCGATCATGTTCTTGTCAAAGTGGTCAACCTCGTCAACTACAACGTTTCTATCCACTGGTAATCCTATGTCTCCATCTTCATTTCTTCAATCCTAAACCATCCACATTGCTACTCCCACTAAGCAACTAATTAATATGTAGATATTAAGAAAAATTAGTTCAGTTAGTTATATTTTAATAATATTATTTTCAATAATGTGCATTGTAACTATTTCTTAATAAAAACTCTTTTATTATGTGCAATCAATATGAATATTTATATTTAAGATTAAAAGAATCCCCTTAGTACAGTGCTAGAGAATGATGCTAATTCCAACAGGTGAAGCGAGAGTATGAAGAAAAAGCTAAGAATGAAAAGAACAAGGGTATTGATTATTCATTAAACTTCATAAAGAATCTTATATTACGAACCGATAGATAAAGTCTTATAGATAGAATCAGAGGGAGTATATACAATTTTTAATTTTGATATTCCATAATTAAATCATGGCTCTGCCTCTATTGGCAGGCATGGTGTCCGGCAACTGCGAACCGGCTGGGCGGACGGGCCGGCATATATCACACAGTGTCCAATTCTGCCAGGGCAAAGCTATGTGTACAACTTCACTATAATTGGGCAAAGAGGGACGCTTCTGTGGCATGGACACATCAACTGGCTCAGGGCAACAGTGCATGGAGCCATAGTTATATTGCCAAAGCGTGGGGTGCCTTATCCCTTCCCAAAACCAGATGATGAAAAGGTTTTGGTGTTAGGAGAATGGTGGAAATCTGATACTGAGGCTGTCATCAATGAAGCTATGAAGTCAGGAGTGGCTCCAAATGTCTCTGATGCTCACACCATCAATGGCCTTCCAGGCACTGTTGCCAATTGTTCTACCCAAGGTACTCTAAACTACTACTTCAATGTATTCTCATTTAATGTTCAAATTCTAGATGTTTAAATGTTTTACACAGCTTTTCAAAAAATGATCGAGAAGCCACGTTTGGAAGCTCGTAGACTGAATTATAACCAAAGGACTAAATGCTTATAAGATATTTTTGTTTTGTGGATTTGTCCATATGCAGAAGTATTCAACCTGGGGGTAGAAAGTGGGAAGACATATTTGTTAAGGATCATCAATGCTGCACTCAATGAGGAACTCTTCTTCAAGATCGCCGGCCACAACGTCACCGTCGTGGAAGTTGACGCCACCTACGTCAAGCCGTTCACCACCGACACCATCATCATTGCTCCGGGCCAAACCACCAACGTCCTCCTAAACACACACCAGAAATCTGGAAAATACTTAATCGCAGCTTCTACTTTCATGGACGCTCCTGTAACTATAGATAACCAAACAGCCACAGCCACACTTCACTACACAGGCGGCACCACCACTCTCTCCGACGACTCCCCGATGGTTCTCACCACCACTCCTCCCAAAAATGCCACTCAAATAGCCGATCAGTTCATCAACTCTCTCAAAAGCCTGAATTCCCCAAAATACCCAGCAAAAGTTCCACTGGAAATTGACCATTCACTGTTCTTCACGGTGGGCTTAGGGGTCAACCCTTGCCCTACCTGCAAAGCAGGGAATGGAAGTAGGGTTGTGGCGGCTGTGAATAATGTGACATTTGTGATGCCAAACACGGCCTTGCTTCAGGCTCATTATTACAACATCAAGGGCGTATTTACCACAGATTTTCCTGCCAATCCACCTCATGTGTATAACTATACTGCGAACATAACTAAGAATATACAGACCCAGAATGGGACAAAGCTTTATAGGGTACCCTACAATTCGACGATTCAGGTGGTGTTACAGGACACAGGCGTGATCGCACCTGAGAGCCATCCGATTCATCTTCACGGGTTCAATTTCTTTGTGGTGGGGAGAGGAGTAGGGAATTATGACCCCAAGGAAGATCCCAAGAAATTTAACCTTGAAGATCCTGTGGAGAGAAACACAATTGGAGTGCCTACTGGTGGCTGGACTGCTCTTAGGTTCACAGCAGATAATCCAGGTTATTAATTAAACTCAAATCTCTTCTGGGTTATATTCAATTTTCAGGATTAACTATTTTTAATCCCATGTGTTTGATTAATATAACAGGAGTCTGGTTCTTGCACTGCCATTTTGAGGCGCACACGACATGGGGATTAAAGATGGCATTTCTGGTGGATAATGGGAAAGGACCTAAACAGTCATTGGTTCCACCACCCAAAGATCTTCCAAAATGCTGATCTGATCTCTATATGTACATTTGACTTCACTTGATTAATCACATTGTCATCTACAAATCCAAGAGAAGGCTCCCTAATTCAGAAATGACGATGTGAGAGATCATATGAAGATCAGGAAGAGGCAAAAAGGAGAGTGAATTGAGAAGATGAGTTGTTTTAATTGTTTTAATAAGCAAACATTGCAGTTGCTTTCCACTTTCTTTTTTCTTTTGGGTGAGTTAGGAATGGGATAATTTCTTGAAGAAACGATGAAGAATAAATTTGAGTTGAAAGAGTGGAGAATAATTAATTTGGTTGCTTTTGTATACAGTTTTTTTTTTTTTTTTTTACAATTTTATCTGGGAAAATATACATTTGTATCATCATCCTCAACAAAAATGTATCATTTCCTTGTTTAATGAAATCCATATGTTTCTTTTTATATTATTACTGCATGCTGATCAATTTAATTAAGTGATTTTCACTCTCTCTTTCACCCACACACAGGTGCACGATTCTTTATGTTTAAGCAGGAAGTTACGTAGCAGTAGGGCAACCCTCTTACATCAATTTAGTTGGGTTGCTTTAGTTCTAAGGACATGCAATTTTTCTTTTAAAAAAAAAATCTGAAGGACATGTATAATATATATCAACGTATTTATAGTAAGCTATCATCTTTGTAAGACACGAATACCATACTATAACTCATTTTCCACACACACATATCTTGTGTAATTAATGTATGGAAAACACGGCGGCTAACTTCTTTTTATTTTATTTTAATAGAAACGTAATAATCTGTTATAACTTCAAGTTTCATCTTTCGGATCCTTTCCAGTTTTATTCTATCTTCAAGTTTTCAGTCAAAGCCGCCACACTGACATCAATGTTATGATCACAAACAGTCTACCTTGGATGATTAATCTCTTGATTAATGATTTCTACAATGAATACTAACTCGGCACTTAATATGAGAGCTAGTTGGAGATTAAATTTGATTCTAAATATAATATCTCAATTCACTTTATATTCCAAATTTGTAATTTATTTTCTAAAGTATTTTTATTGATTACACATGTTAAGGAGTTGCCTTCCAATGATAGTCATGATTAAAAATGGTACTTTAAGAAAATCAACTCATATTTGTTACAAATAATTAACTTAACTAATTTTCTTAATCTACTCAAATTAGTTAAGTAGACCGAAGATAACATAATCTTTCAAGTTAATTTCTCTCTCTTGTATGGTTTATTCCCATAACCTTTGCATTAAGCTGTATGAGATAAGCATATAAAAAGAGTTTTGTCTCACTTGCATTTAATTTTTTTTTTTTAATTTGATCCATGTTCACATTCACGAATCAGTGAACACCATATAGGCAGGGTTCCTTTTTGGTAATTGGGCTTCGTTTCAAATATTGCTGAAAATCAAATTCCTCTTTTGGGGCCCGGCCTTTAGCCCAAAATCATAGTCCAGCAAATATTTTTTTTGAGGCCTTTCATTCTGCCATAACATTTTACTTAAAAACTAGTTGAACCAAAAGTATGATCCGCTTGGCTTGGTTGATAAGGAGCTTACTTAGAATTGGTAAGATTGTGAATTTAAATCTCACTCTAAACTTTTGGAGCTTGAAGACATATTTGGTCTTGGCGGTCTTTCGAATCCAACTTGTCTAAGAGGGTGTTTGGCAACTCTCAAAAGTGCTTCTCAGAAACACTTTTCTGTAAAACGAGACAAACTCTTCCACATATTTATTTCGTAAACCGTAAAAGCACTTCTGAAACCATGATTTGATTTCCATCCAAACACCCTCTAAATTTTTTTTGTATAAAAAAAATGGTTCACTCAAAAATTTAATAATTGATGTCTAGAAATGTGTGGTGTGCACACTTGCACCAAGCATAGGGACCTAAATAATAAATGATATTTAAAGATGCTTTTTTGAGAAGGACAACAAAAAGTTTATAAATGCCAATTATTTATCATATTAATTAAAACAAAATCAAACTTCTTTCACAGAACAGACAAGTTTTTATCCTCAACATTTAATGGGACACAGGAAAGAAGACGAAAGGCCCTCTCCTCTGTGGTCTGAAATATGCTCTGTGATTGGCCCAACGGGAATTAAATATTTGGCTTTGGCCATATAATTGAGGCAACTCGCAATATTGAATCCGAAATTTCCATAAATTGCTAACAGGGAATCTTTCTAGATTTGGAAATATTAGTTTTGCTTAGTTGTCAATGACTCATTGGTTTTAAATTTAATTTCTTTATTTTTAAAAAAATTGATGATACATTTCTTATCACCTACACTTCTTGGAGCTTCAAAAATAATCACTCCTTAATTCTCTCTCTCTCTCTGGTTCTGAGTCAACAGATCAAGAAAATAGTAAACCATGAAATAATTTTTAATAAATCAGATTGATGATTTCATGAATCTTAATAAAGTTTTTACTTTACAATTTATTGTAAATTTTTAGGAAAAAGCGAGGGAAATGAGAAAAATAAATGTCTCCGAGTCATTTTTTAAAGGAAAAATTACAAATATATACCCACAAATATGTAAAATTACAATTTGGGATCCTAAATTTGAAAAATAGTACATAAAGACCCAATCCCACTTTTGCATATATGAAATATTGGTAAAATGTCTGAAATATCCCTTAGCCAAATGACAAGTTGACGATGAGAAATGATAAGTTCATTTTAGCGAATGATAACTTCAGTAGACTAGATCACAACTTAACTAAAGGTATGTCAAATAACGAGTTGACTACAGGAAATGACAAATTCACTTTAACGAATGACAATTTCAGTAGACCAAATCAAAATTTGGTTAAGGGACATTTTAGACATTTCACCCACATTTCATATTTGCAAAAATAAAATCGGGTTTTTATTTGCTATTTTCCAAATTTAGGGTCCTAAATGAAAATTTTACATATTTGAGGTATTTATTTGTAATTCCCCCTTTTTTAAATAGAAAAAGAGCTGGAACGACAGAGAATATTCTGTCCCTTTCATTCTCTCTCTCGTCTCTCTCTCTTGACTCATCTCTCTTTCCTCCCTCCTTCCTTCCCGCTCTTCTTTAGTCGCCGGCCCACGAACACCCTCTCCACCAATCACAACTCAGTGCCTTTGACCTATCTTTCTCTGTCCGGTCGTCCTTTTTTCAGTAGTCGATCGTTGTCTCACGAGCTGTACAAAGAGCCGACACATTTCTGAAGTTTGCTCATGGTACTTCCTGCTTATTTCTGATGGATTCTCTGAGCTTCATTGCTGTTCCAAATTTCTCTCTCATTTTCTTCAATCCAGAACCCCTCTATTCTACCAGTTCCAATTAGTGACTATCACTGTCTAAGCCTCAAACATTGCTATTCTCTGCTCATGTTCGGTGTGGGTTTTGGCTTTTCCCATTGTAGATCTAAGCACGTTTGGGGTTTATGCTTCCACCATTGACTTGTTGATTTGGGAATTTTTTTCCCTTGGGTTTTGGGAAGAAAGCCTGTTCTAGATTCCCAGGTTTTGTGGGTACGTGAAAAGGGCAGCAGATTCCCTTCCAATTTGCATATTGGTTAAATTAAATGCTTTCTTTGGCCATATGAAGCCTCTCCAGAGCCCTTCTGCATTTCTTACTCTCTCAGCCTTCTCTCTCTTTGGATTTTCATCAAAGAGAGAGAGTGTATTTCTCTAACATCCGCTCTGGCATGCTTTCTTGCTGCTGCTTAGAATATATCTAGAACAATGAACAGGGGAATTGAAGTACTCTCTCCAGCCTCCTACCTCCAGAACTCTAATTGGCTGCTCCAGGAAGGCAAAGGAACTAGATGGACTCCAGAAGAGAACAAGCGATTTGAGAACGCTTTGGCTCTGTATGATAAGGATACATCAGATCGTTGGCTGAAGGTGGCAGCCATGATTCCAGGCAAGACTGTGGCTGATGTGATCAAACAGTACAGAGAACTGGAAGAAGATGTGAGTGTCATTGAGGCAGGGCTGTTCCCAATCCCTGGGTACAGTAATAGTTCTTTCACATTAGAGTGGGTCAATGGCCAAGGCTTTGACGGGTTCAACCAATTTTATACTTCTGGTGGAAAAAGGGGTACCCCAACTAGGCCTTCTGAGCAGGAAAGGAAGAAAGGAGTTCCATGGACTGAAGAGGAGCACAGGTATAAATCGATTAACGTCAATAAGTTTGCTTGATTATTTTGTGTGTATGTGTGTGTATGTTGCCTCAAAGGTGGTCGCCCAAATTTAGATCATTCTTAAGAATCCATGATTAGCTAGGATGTTGATGAAACAGAAAGTTTGAGAAGTCAAGATGCTTGTGAATTGGTTTTGCATCGATTGGCTCTTCGGTTTGAGCGTTTAGTTGCAATCCATGGTAATTACATGTTTGGCCCTTGCATTTTCTTATTGGTTTTCAGTTCCCATGAATAGTTTTGAGGATCAAACTGTGTTAACTTAAGGTTTCAATTGGTAAGTGAGCATTCATGATTAGTTTTACTGGAATTTAATAGCAGGGACATCTTTCAGTGAATTAGCTAACTGTTGCAGGCAATTTCTGATGGGGCTCAAGAAGTATGGCAAAGGGGACTGGAGAAACATCTCTCGCAATTTTGTGACCACAAGGACGCCGACTCAGGTTGCGAGTCATGCTCAGAAGTATTTCATCAGGCAGCTTACTGGGGGGAAAGATAAGAGGAGATCCAGTATCCATGATATCACAATGGTCAATCTCCAAGAAACTAAATCTCCTTTGTCAGATAGTATTAGACCTGCTTCTTCAAATCATCCTACAAAGGTTGTAAATCCACACCAGAATCAGAAATTAGTCGGCATGGTTAAACAGGAGTATGACTTGCCTACGGTTTTCAATCCCACAAATGGGAACGTGTTATTGGCACCAATTTATGGGATTTCTTCTCGTGGATCGAAACCACAGGAGCAGTGTATTCTCAAAGGCACTCTCCATGGATTTGACCATGGACCTTATGATACTATTCTTCAAATGCAATCAATGCAGCATCAGTGAACTATGCATGTAATGGACGGTTTAGTGAAAGTCCTGGAGGTGTTAAAACACGACCCTTTTCGGTGATGCTGCATTAATTTCTTCAGATGCTTCATGGTGTTTTATTTGTATATGTTGAGGAGGACTCGGGATTAGACCTTAGTGATTAGACTCTGAAGATATCAGTACATATTGTATTCCTGTATCGAAACTCCATGACTAGAACTAGACAACCAAGCATCCGGGGAAGTTATTTTATTTAATCCGTGAAGCTTGAAGTTGTGTAATATGACTTTCTGATTACTGTTATGGTATTGTAGTTTTGATGAGACTTTCTGGTGAGCAAAGATCTGTTGTGTAACTTTCTGTCCCAGAAGAACCGAAGTTGTCTGCAGAATGTCCCTTGGAAGAGAAGAAGAGTTACCTTTCT